GGGACTTGATCCTAGGACTCCGGGGTCACACCCTGGGCCAAAGGCAGGTGCTCAACTGCTGAGCCACCCAGGCTCCCAAGTCTTCCTGGTTTTTTAAAGCTAGAATTAGATGGACCCTGAAAACTATAGTTTGGTTAACTTGACCTTGATCTCTGACAAAAATCTAGAATGCTTCATTAGGTGGTTGGGTTATGAACACTTAAAAAAGAAAACATTTGAGTATCAAGAGCCAAAAGAGATACACTAACATCAAAATATGCCAAATAGACTCTAGGAAGTTTTATTTCTGCCATTAAAGAACGTTCCTTATGTTTAAATACAGAAAATACAAAGAAGAAAGCAAAGTTGGGTCATATTCCCACTGCAAGATAACTAAGCTTCCATCTCTTATCCATCAGAGCTTTCTTAGAGTTCCCTGCATTCTTCTGGAAAAGGAAATTTACAGATAAAAGGATTGTTTTCTCTCTCTTCAAGTACACGTTCTGCACTTTGCCTTTACAAATAAATTAATTGTATATTTTAGAGACCATGTTCACATCCATAAAGTTACTCCATTGTCTTTAATGATTGAATACCTTTCCTTCATATCTTTTACCGTTCTTTTTTTTTTTAATTTTTATTTATTTATGATAGTCACACACAGAGAGAGACACAGGCAGAGGGAGAAGCAGGCTCCAAGCACCAGGAGCCCGATGTGGGACTCGATCCCGGGTCTCCAGGATCGGGCCCTGGGCCAAAGGCAGGCGCCAAACCGCTGCGCCACCCAGGGATCCCCTACCGTTCTTTTTTTTTTAAAAGATTTATTTATTTATTAGAGAGAAAGAGAGAAAGTATGTGTGAGCGAGGGGAGGGGCAGAGGAAAAGGTGGAGAGAGAGAGAGCGAGAGAGAACGAGCAGACCCCCATTGAGCACAGAGCCCAACTCAGGGGCTCCATCCCAGGATGCCCACATAATGAGATCATGACCTGAGCTGAAATCAAGAATCAGACGCTCTTGACAGAGCCACCCAGGCACCTCATATCCTCTACTGTTCTATCGGTATTTTAGAGCATTGCTATTATTTATATTTGTTTTGCTATTGCAAGCAGTGGTGCAGTAAACAATGCTGTACACATATTTGGTATCAATTTCCAAGTGTATCCATGAGATAAATTCCTTTAGGCATAGTTCTCAGTAAAAATGTACATGCATTTTAGAATTGCAAAGTACTCTCCAGTATGGTTCTGTTGTTCTGTACTCACATGAGCAGAACACGAGAATGCTTGTTTTTCCACATCATTGACACTACTAGGTTTTAGCATTTAAAAAAAATTGCCAATCTAGTGGGGGGGAAAAATCCATCATATTCTCGTGTTTTGATTTGCATTTGTTCATTAGAAAGCTTAGCATTATTTCAAAAGCTTATTTGCCATTCATATTTTTTAATGAACCCCCCCTTAAATCCTTTGTCCATTTTTAATATGTTGCTTAACTTTTTATTATTGATTTGAATGATACTTAGAAACTAAATTGTCCTTTGTGCATCATGTGTTGCAAATGTTTTTCTAGTTTGTGATTATTCCTCTGACTTTGCTTATGGCTTTTTGTTTTGTCACATTGATTTTTTTTAATTGTAGTTAAATTTATTGTTCTTTTCTTTTATGGCTTCTGAGCTCATGGTTTTTAAAATCTAAATGGGGTTTCTAGATTGCTTGATTTGGGAAATGCCACAAAACTCTCTTAAGAATTTCATCCACATGTTTTATAAAGTTTCCCGTATCTTTGTAGACAAAATGAAGAAATAAATGTTGAATGATATATATCAAAGTGGCTTTACAGTTGACTCAGTGAATGTACATGAAGAATGCTGATTAATGAGTCCATATCAACCTGGATTCCTTTGGCCTTGATGAAAATAGAAGACATAATTCTCATATTTTCAGACAGAAGAAAGGTCAAGATAGTTTCCTGGGTAACAGGACCAAGATTCAAGAAGATCTTGACAGGCCGGAACAATGAATTTAAAACCAATGAGACCATTTAAAAGAGTTAAATCAACAACTCGTATTTTTCTGAAAGTCCAAGTATGTAAGGACGAATGGGAAGGCCTGAGATACAGATATTCATGGAAGTCACATCATCACAACAAAAATGGAGCTCAGTATGAATTAATGATGTGCTAGGAATTCCAAGAAAGCTAGTGTGGTCTTAGGTGCTCTCTGGACTATGTAACAATTTAAACAAATAAACTCCTTAATTCTGAAATCGAGGCTTACAGACACTCTAAGAAGAGTACAGAGAGGTTCTATGTAGATTTTCATCTAGATTTTCCCAATGGTAACATTCTACATAATTATAGTACCACTATTAAAACCAGAAAATTGACATTTGTACACTCTATAACCTTATTATTATTATTTTTTTACTAGTTTTTACACTTACTCTGCATGTGTGTGTGTAGTTCCATGGAATTTTATCACAACTACTGACTCATATATTTTTTTAAAGATTTTATTTATTTATTTGAGAGAGAGAGAGCGAGAGAGCAATAGAGAGAGCACAACTGGGTGAAGGGGCAGAGGGAGAGGTGAAGCAGACTCCCTGCTGGGCAGGGAGCCCAGACTTGGGGCTGGATCCTAGGACCTCAGGATCTTGACCTGAGCTGAAGGCAGACACTTAACCCACTGAGTCACCCAGGTGCCCTCAGACTCATGCATTCTTAACAGTTTTTAATTGGTAAAAAAAGTAAGAATGGACTTATATGTAGAAAAAATTTGTTCCTTTATTTCAGATAAATCAAGCTTGGAATTTTATGTAAGTGAGATACCCTGGATAAAAGTATACCTGGAGGTGAACTTGCATAAATACTCCCGTGGTTCCATGACTGTGCTATATTTGCATTCCCAGGGCCATAATGAAGCTGTATATTGAAAAACAATAGAATTAAAGAGAAATGGGACTTTTAGCAACATTTAAAAAAGATTCTATGATGGGCAGCCCGGGTGGCTCAGCAGTTTAGCGCCTGCCTTCGGCCCCGGGCATGATCCTGGAGACCTGGGATCGAGTCCCACATGGGGCTCCCTGCGTGGAGCCTGCTTCTCCCTCTGCCTGTGTCTCTGCCTCTCTCTCCCACTTTGTGCTTCTCATTAATAAATAAATACAATTTTTAAAAAAAGGTTCTATGAAGGCCTGTCATGCAACAAAAGAGGTAGGCTTATATGTCATGACAGTGTCTGTTAAGAGAGATTGGAGGCAATTATAAGAATTGATGATGGATAAATACCAACGAATATCCTAAAGGAGCCGGGGATGTTTGAGAGGGTAGGTTTTGCTTTCTATTCCAGACTGGGGAAGGAAGAGGAGAGGGAGGAAAAGCAGCGAGAAGAGATAGAGGAAGTTCTGGTGTCCTAGTGGCACACATTGGTAAAGAAATAAATAAAAGCAGTTATGAAGATATATCTTAAATGCTTTCCCATCAACTCTGTAAAGAATAATGATTGTATTCAGCTATGGCACCTGTTAATTATGAAGATACAGAGAAGTTTTGAGGGGTCTTTTTGTAACTACTTGTCATTCTCTCTCCTTTGCCTTTCTGTTTTTCTTTTTAAAGAAAACATGATGATGCATGTTTTAACCCAAAGAATGCCATATTTTATAGGCTCCTGATACTGCTTTGACTGCTTTTTTTCCTAATCTAACTTGAGCAGACCTAGATTCCTGACTGGTGAGTTTACAGTTCTATATGTCACATGTTTGTAGATGGCAAGGATCCAGGGAACCTGGAGGTTTCTGAGAGAGGTGGCTGCTGTCATGCTCAGAGGACAGAAGCTGTAAAGGAGAGTATCTGCTCTGAAGGCATCTTGAGGGAGAGGAAAGGTATCAGGTGTATTGGTTTGGATTTCGTCCAGTTGAATATAATAGAATACTCAAATACAGGGACTTAAGCACATGGAGATTTATTTATTTTTTACATGACAAGAAGGTGAAAGGTAGCAGTTGCCCAGTCTAGTTCAGTGGCTCTGTCATGTTAGGGCTGAGTCTCTTCAGTTTTCCTCACTATTCCTCATGGTTGCAAGAGGGCTGCTGCAGCTCTAGGCAACATGTCTATATTCAAGGGAGGAAGAAGAGAGAAAGAGAAAGGAGGAAAGGAAACAGAAAGGGTTGCCATCAACCATTTCAGGAAATGCAAATGTCTTCCCCAAAGCCTTCTCTCATATCTTACTGGCCAGAATTTTTCCTTCTCCCCACAGTTTTGAGTCACACAATTCGACAGAGAGATTTGTACAAGCTTTAATAACAGGAGAGGAACCAAGAGAGGGGGACGGAGAGTTTTCCGTAATGTGCACATGGTTTAAAGACATTAACCTGTGAGGATGGACTATTAATCTCAGAGGCTTAGCTTGATATTTATTTGTAGAATTCTGTTATGTACTCACTTATGTCTGGAATTAAGAGAAAGGAAGTAGGGCAATAAGGATTTTGATAATTCTCCACTGAACTGAAATCATCTGTGGGGGATGAAATGAAGTTGGTCATAAAAGCTCTTCTTGAGATTTTCCTGCAGCTCTTCTCTGGCAAAATATCAACTTAGAGAAATTTCTTCATAGACTCTCTGTTTTTAGTTGTAAACATGGTGGGATGATGTTCTGGGCTGTTGCATCTGGGAGCCCAAGTAGGGTTCAGGAGATCACCCTTCTCCATTTGAAAGCTGTATTTCTGTAATTGAGACCAGAGCTTGACTCCTTGTGTCCGCAATGCTACTAAATTGAATTAGGGACTTTATGGGAAGAACAATGAGAGCCCAAATTCATGTATGAGCATGCAGATCTTTTAAGTGGTAATATGAAACAGGCCCAGCATTCTTGGGTTCTAAGCGTGGGTTTTAGAAAATGTGTTTAGTAACACAACTCTGATTGTTTAAGGGGACTTTGAGCATCTGAGGAGGGAGGTTTTAATTAGCCCCCTTTTATAAATGTGGAAATCAAGGGTCAGGAGAGTTAAAGAAGTTGCCTGAAGTTTCTCAAATAGAGCCGAGATTCAAAATGCTTCTTGTCTGATCCATGGACCTTCCTCTTCATTAGGAGGACACCCTAAGCTACTACTAAGCTCCACAAAGTGAGTAAAATCAGGTGTAAGTAGGTAAAGAAGTGAGGCCCTGATTGAAAAGGTTGTTTTGTAGGCCCGAGGTCATGGAGTTTGGTGTTGGTTCTGCCCTTGTGATTTAGCGTGTGTATGTGATACAGTGATTTAAACGAGGATTTATGAGCTCAGTGTTAATGTGGATGTGGGTGCTGTCTGGCTCTGCTCCTCAACACCAAGAGGACTCCACCTCAAACGTTTGTCCTTTTGTATACGCACCTGGTCCTGGGCTGGTGTCTCGGTGGACGAAGGCATGCCCTTATTCTGCAGCCACCGTTACATACCTGAGCACTAGCGATGTGCTGACTCCACCCACCTGGCCTCCCGGAGGGAGGACATGGCCCCCAAGAGGACACTGAACATTTCCTAAAGAGCTTTTACTCTGTGTGTGTGTGTGTGTGTGTGTGTGTGTGTATGTGTGTGTGTGGCAGGGGAGTTAAAAAAGATGAAAACGTATAGAAAGAGGTGCATTTAGCAGGACTTTTGGCTACAGATATGCTTGGGTGGCACAGCTCATTTTTCTTCATTTCCATCCTAAGGGACCCCACGCCACAGCCTGTCCTTGGAAGTTTCTCCTTTCCCTTCTTTCTTGTGGGTGCCTCTCCCCTCCAGTACAGAGTTATTGCAGATGGGGCGGAGGAACATGTTCCAGGGTAAGTATATATGTGTTCCCTCCACATTCAAAGGCTTTGTGGTTGGCAAACACTGGTTTTCCCATATTTTCCTTAATGCCATGACTCCGAATGGATATTAATAGTACTGGTCAAATAAGAATTGATTTAACAGAAAGGTTTTATTTGCATTCCTGTTTTCATCTCCAGCTTTAGTGTTGGGCTTGGCAATGCCTCAAAACAAACCTTTATATATTTTGTATATCCATACGCATGTGGGTGTATCCACATACATGTGAATACACACTTTATGTGTATACACACTCATCTCCGTATTTTGGATATGGTTGCTGAGAGTCCTGGAGTAGTGGACTAAGTACACTTTTATCCATTTGTTTTCAATTTAAGCAATTTAGCCATACGTCTCATGAATCACAAACGTGGACCTACTCTTGGACACAGTAATTTCTCTTTGGGAAATGATACCATGTAAATCTTTAAAAATAAAGAGAAAGTCATAAAACACATAGTTGTATTTTTTTTAAACATACGGGATATTTTAATTTACAGTTCACAGATTCTTTTCACACGAATTATCTCCTTTCATGTACGCAGTGACGCTCTAGGGGAGGTGGTTTTGTTTTTCCTCATTTTATAAATGAGGGAACAGGCATAGAGAAGTGATATGGTTTCTTTAAGGTTGGAAGTTGGATCTAATGGTAGAGTTTGGACAGTTTTGCCTAGTTTGGAAAGCAGGGAAACTCAACCAAGAGGATAGGACACTCGTCAAAAAGACGACAAAGCATTTGAATGTGCCTTAAGGGAGAAAATGGGAAATCTATGTCTTCCGGGCAATTTCTCTTTATCATACAATCCCCATTTCCCGATGGAGGAACTTGTTAACTATGGTGTGCCAATTTAATGCACATCGTGGAGCTCTTTATACTATAATTACAGAGACTGAAATGTGATGGAAAGTATTTATGGCATAATTTAACTTATAATTTAAAACATAAAAATTATATTCATAGAATAAGTATGAATGTGTAAACTATGCATTTTTAAGGATAAAAACTGGAAGAGGACATGGAAACAAAAACAGTTGTGTTCATGGGATGGGATTGTAACTAAATTTTCATAATATTTTTTCCTTCGTACATATAGAATTAACAATAAGTTTTAAAAATCCAAATACTATCAAAAATGAACATTTATTGAGTGCAGATACTGGCCTAAACGTTTTCCATGCCTAATTCCATTTAATCACAACTCTGTGAGGTAAATGTTATTATAATTTCCACTTGGTAGATGAGAACCATTTGTTTTAGGATGGTTAAATAACTTCTCCAAGGTTCTAAAGGGTAGGAGTCAAGATGGGGGCACTTGGGTTTATGCTCTGTTTCTTCCAACTCCAAATACCAACAGTCCTACAATATACGTCTTATAAAGGTGATAGTCATTTAATTGTGAAACTCATCTTAGGTGCCTATAAAGACTCTTTTGTCTCATTGTGGAAGAACTTTAGTTGATTGACAGATATTACCCATTCACACAGCGTTTAATTAGTTAGGAACTCTTTGTGGACCATCTATACCTACAGGACGAAATGCATTGAGGAAGTAGAGATTTACAACCTGTTTTGCACAACAAAGGTCCAGAATAGCAGAGGCTGCCATGAAAGCTGATTCTGACACCTTGCCCACTACCGATTTAATGGCAGCATTGACCAGCACCTTAGTTCAGGAAGTAGGTGTGTGTGACAATCCACGGGGTGCAAAAAGGGTTGCTATAGCTCCCATGCCAAGGAACAGTGCTAGCCCCAGGCTTTCCCCTGAATCTCCAGGAAGAAGGTCAGTATTTTATTGCTTCTGTTCTCCATTGGGAGGATAAATGCTTCAGTTCTCTACTTCACTTTGCCCAAGCATTAGCTTTGAGTTGAGAAGAAAAGATGTCCTCTTCTAGCAGAAGGGACCAGCCCGCGTTTCTTGGTTTTAATGGGGCTGGGATCTTTCCAGCGGTGTGGAATTCCTTCTAAGGCTTGAGTAATGACTCTATTGTAGAAACGTCCTTTCTTGCTGCTGGTTACAGCATTGCTGGTTTGCAGGAGCAGACTGCTCTTTGAAGGCGGGATTTACAGAAGGCTTTGGAGAATGGAACACAAAGTCGTTCTTCCACACTGCCCCCACCAGAGAGTTGACCTTCCAGCTATCTTTCCTTCATAGGATGGAGTTTCTAATCTGTAGGCTTCAGGTACCTGGCTCCTTACCTTTCCCATTTCCTTTATCAGAGCATGTGCACTTTCAAGGTCTTTGTTGTGAATCTTTTTGATTAGTGTCTTATCTTTTTTTGGTAGGGCTTCCTTGCTTTCCGGACTGAGCAAAATAGAATCACCCCACTCTATCCCCATCCACTTTTGTCTACTGCTCTCAGTTATTCACAGTCTTGAAATGTGTTCTTATTCTGGGGCTTTTATTCTTTGGTGTGAAGTTGATTGAGTATTAACGCTCCTGAATACTATGGGTAGCATTTCTGCTCTGCAAAGCACTTCACAGAGGTTAACTAATTAATCCTCTCAACACCTCTTGTCCTGTGGGGACAATTAATAGTTGGCCAACAATAGGAAGGAGAAGGGAAGCGATTCTTACTCTTTTCATAAAGGTCTTCAACCTTCAAAGCACATTTCCTGCCAATAGCTAGAATACAGACTATGGGAGACAGAGGAGAAGGGAGAGATTTTGAGAGGAAATTCCTCTACCACCTTCATGAAATTCCCCATTAAAGGTTTCGGTGCAGGGTCTTGAGTGGGTAAACTTTGTGGAGCTAGCTTTGTCTAAGGACTTGAGCAAGGGCTTAATCTTAATCCTCATTTTCCTTCTGATTTAGAATCATAGAATGTTAGGGGGTTCAGGCCTTGGAGATTCAACAAGGCCTTATAAATGCAAAAACTTGACCTTATAAATGCAAAAACTAAGGCAGAGGAAGGTTAGATTATTTTAAGGTGATAGAGAACTGATTGGTTTATTTATTGACACACCCTCGGCTTCTCTGATAGATAAGGTGTCTGCTTATCTTGAAGGTCTTATGAGAAAGTAGGAATTGACTGTGTCACTGGCCAGCACTAGGCTTAGCTATTGGACTATGTTCAGCCTGTGGTTCCTGAGTGAAGTGGCGGGACCTGGGGGAGCCAGCCAGCTGGTGGACCGTAGAAAAACAGAACCACCACCATTGTGCAAAAATGCCTTCATGTATATTCGGGGAAGACAGGGTATAGAATACATCATTTATCTTCAGAGAGTCAATGGATATTTGATATAAACAAACAGTCCATTATAGTGTTCACTGTAGCAAATTCTGTAATTACAAATTTTATGGCAACTCCCATTACTGAACCATTTTCATCCCTCTCCTCGCTGTCTGAGAAACCACAAATTGGGTAGAAATTTTCATGGCTAGACTCTGCCTGCTGGAGGATGGATGACTTCTGGGAGCACAGGGAAGGAAGGAAAATCTCATTAGCTACCTCTAAGTTATTGTTGAATGCGAAGAAATGTAAGCATATTCCTTTTCCAGTTTGCAAAAGAGTCGAATGTTTCTTTTCTCTGTATCGTGAAATTGTGAAAAATGAGGCAGTAAGACCTCATTTTCAAGGCTGTATAGAATCACTGAGAAATGTTGAGGGGAAAATGCTTTACTGAATCACTTCTAAGCGTGCTGGAGATGTGACTGCTCATAATTTCAGCGTCTACTCTGCCAGTGTTTACACTTTACATTTTCCTCTGCTCTGTCTTGATTGTGTCCATGCAATCCTGGGTTCCTGGAGTTAAAAAGATTTGAAACCCTGGCTGGGAGGAGAGAAGCTCAGCACGTGTCCGGGTTGGTGGTGTTTTTCTGAGGTGGCAAATTCTAGCCTCAGGGGTTAAAAGGATCAGTGTTTTTTTTTTTTTTTGTGCAGAGTCGATATTCTGCCAGATGCCAATAGGTGCTTGACAAACACCTCTTGAAAACACATAGTTGAGTAACAGAATTCCAGACACTAAAAAAAAAGAAGAAAAGAAAAAAACCAAAACAAAAAACACCCTCCCCTCACCCTGTCCTGTAGCTTCTTTGCTTAATCATGAACAGATTTCTTATCCTCCAGTCAGCCGCACGCTGTCTTCTCTGTGCATTGTCTGCCTGGGAACTCTCTCACCTCATTTTCCCATGGGTCTTGAGTCTAAGTCATCTTTCAAGACTTACCACAGTTTCTGGGTTTCCTCTGTTCCCCTAAGTGTCTCCTGATTATCTTAAGCTATAGGTAAATCTTCATTCTTAAAATTCAAGGAGCATTTGTTTTTTGTACTACCAGAATAAGATACTCGCTTATAAATGTTTTGTATGGTTTGCAAAGGGTTTCATATACATTCCTTGTCTCCCTACCTAGATTGTAAGTGCTTTGGGGCCAGCGGTCATCTAGTATGTATCTGACTTTAGTGTAAAGGGGAATTCTGAGGCAGTATATGCTTCATCTACTGTTGCCGAGTAGTAATCCAGGATGTGTGAAAAGGCGGTTTTTCCCTTCTAGGCTATAAGCTCTTTAAGGAAACATCTTTTTGTAATTCATCTTTTTTGTGCTTTACACTCACTTAATGCTTAAAAAATATTTGTCAAATGAATGATTTGTAATCTTCTGGGCTTTTCAGAGAGGACATTTGTCTTTAGCTTCTCCTCAAATCTCTAGGTGCTCATCAACTGTGTAGACTTTGGGGACCTCCACTTCTGATAGAACATTTTTTTAACTTCTGCTGATAATTATTTGTAGGGATTGTAGGTGTTTGGGATTATTTTTGATGCCGTTGTTCTTCCTCTAATACCCATGTCTTTGCAAAAATTGTTTCCATGGAAAGTGCCCATTGTGCATTTTTTCTTTGTCAATCATACATAAAGACACAAATTTGAAAAAAAGTAATATTGAGGATCCCTGGGTCGCTCAGTGGTTTAGCGCCTGCCTTTGGCCCAGGGCATAATCCTGGAGTCCGGGATTGAATACCACGTCGGGCTCCCTG